CCGCCAGCTCAGGTGTTATGTGGCTGGTGCCTTAGCCATTTGAGCCACAGGCGCCAAGCCATGAAACCATCTCTTAACACTTGCTTAGTAGAAATTATCTCTCCTGTGTTCACTTCACACAACACTTTGTAGACAACTATTACAATACTTAACCACACTATAGTACAATTGCCTATAAGTTTTACAACATCAGACTGTTTTTCAAATGTACAAACTACTTTCTTCTTTGCATTCTCCGTGCCCATGAAGATGCACAGGCCACGTAACAGGTTACTTAAATGTAAACAAATCAATGATTAGCAAGCATTTTCTTACTTAGAACTTAATTAAGGATTTTTCAAGAATAGAAATTAGTAAGCTAGTATCTAAAATAAGAATATTTTCAGGCCAGGCAAGGTAGCTCATGTCTGTAAGCTCAGCACTTGGGAGGCCGAGGCGGGTAGACTGACTGAGCTCACAAGTTCAAGACCACCCTGAGCCAGAATGAGACTTGTCTCTAAATAACAGCTGGGCGTTGTGGTGGGTGTCTGTAGCCCCAGCTACTTGGGAGATTGAGGCAAGAGGATCACTTGAACCCAAGAGTTTGAGGCTGCTGTGAGCTATGATGGCCATAGTACTTTACCAAGGGTAACAAAGTGAGACTGTCTCAACAACAAAAAGAATAGCACTCTGGGAGGCTGAGGCGGGTGGACTGCCCTGAGCTCAGAAGTTCAAGACCAGCCTGAGCCAGAGTGAGGTCCCATTTCTACAAATAACAGCCAGGCGTTGTGGTGGGCGTCTGTAGTATTAGGTACTTGGGAGGCTGAGGCAAGAGAATCACTTAAGCCCAAGAGTTGCAAGTTACTGTGACCTATGATGCTATAGCACATACTGAGGGCCACTAAGTGAAACTCTGTCTCAATAAAAATAAATAAATAAAATAAAAATTAAAAAAATAACAACTTTTGACATTAGCAAACGTTTTGAACAAAGAAGGAAAAGTTTTCAATGAAAAGGTTTACTACACTGCAGGCTGCAACAGACCTTTCAAATTGATTAATAGAAATAATGAAGTGTGGTTGATTCAGAAAAATGAACTCTCCAAAGACAATGAGTGAGAAAATGAAAAAAGTTCCACTGCTGGGGAAGAACTTCTAATATAGACATTAACACTACTGATAAGCATCTAGTATTTTCCACTTGAGGGTACTACTATGAATTCAGCTTATTTCCATTGTGCCTTTTTAATGCTTGACGCTTTATCTGGATACACAGGTAACAGGACATTTGGTCTACATACACATGCAAATCAGTCACCTAGTTCTGTGAGAATCCACTGAAACGTCACTTACTTCTCACCCCCCTTTTATTTGCTGTTTTTGGCTGGGGCTGGGTTCGAACCCTCCATCTCCGGTATATGAGGCCGGTGCCCTACTCCTTGAACCACAGGCCCCGCCCTTACTTCCCTTTTCTTTTTTCTTTTTTTTTGCAGTTTTTGGCTGGGGCTATGTTTGAACCCACCACCTCCAGCATATGGGGCCAGCGCTCTACTCCTTTGAGCCACAAGCGCCACCCATACTTCCCTTTTCTTCACTGTAACACCATCACGTTGCCTTTTTCTGTTTGCATTTTTGTCAGTAGGATGTTATCTCTTCTAAATAACGTCAATAAAAATGTTGAAGATTTAAAAAAAAAAAAAACTGTCTGAAAATAGACAATGAATCAGAAGGATTCTAGAGATAATGGGAACACTAAAAAATTATCTTGTCAGGTACTGAGACTTCAAATACTGAATCCAATTATAAAAACAGAGGACTGAGGCCAAGAGACTTGTCCAAGGCCATTCCATCTTTCTTGGAATGTCAATGTCTCTTTCTTGTCATCACGATTTAAGTGGTTTTATTAAGGTATATTGTTCACCTTAATAGAGATATCATATATATACCTCATTAATAGAAGTGAACAATATACCTTAATAAAACCACTTAAATTGTGATGACAAAGCAATATACACTTGCCACTGGCTCCAGTTAATTCCAACTCTCCTCCCAAGGTCAGGGATCAAGTAAGTACAGGCTACTTACTCATCACTACATCTTTTCTCACTCCATTCATGTTTGATTTGTACCAGGTGGCAAGAGTGTGGATAGCAACATAGTTGGCTTCAAATTCACAATTTGGATTAGTGAGGACTCCTTTTAATCGTGGGATGAGTTCTGTGGATCTTCCTTTGTATGGGCCCAGAAATAGTCTCTTCTGATCATAATCATTAGCATGAATGTTGTCCCAGATTACTGGAGCTCTCTTAATAATCTTAGAAACCTCTTCAATGGACTCTACTGGAATTTCTTTAGAAACAACTTTGGGACCTAGAAATAATGACCACAGTTTGTTAAAATCTCATATTCATACTAATTAAATTTTTTAAAAAAATCTCACACATGGTTCTTTAAAATACACTGCACATATACTTTTTACTGTGTTTTCCTTGTATACATAATTTCTAACAATTTTTCTTTTTAAACATACGTGCTTTTGTTTTTTTTTTTTTTGAGACAGAGCCTCAAGCTATTCCCCTGGGTAGAGTGCCATGGCATCACAGTTCACAGCAACCTCCAACTCCTAGGCTCAAGTGAGTCTCCTGCCTCAGCCTCCCAAGTAGCTGGGACCACAGGCGTCCACCACAACGCCCGGCTATTTTTTTGGTTGCAGTCATCACTGTTTGGTGGGCCGGGCAGGATTCAAACCTGATACCTTAGGTGTATGTGGCTGGTGCCTTAGCCACTTGAGCCACAGGCGCTGAGCCAACATATGTGTTTTTACTGAGTTTTATTTTTTCATTTTATAAAACCGTCTCCTAGGACTGAGATCAATACCTTTAACCCAGTTCCCTATAGTTTTTTTTTTTTTAAAGATACAATAGCCTTGTGCTTTTTACATCTATTATGAATTAGTAGGGAATTGGTTACAGTAGTGCAGGGTCCTTTCCATTGGCTATCACAAAGTACACTATGCCTATTATGCCATGAATTCACAGAGAATAGGTTTTAGCACCTATGTCTTGTTTCACTAGTTCTTACAGTGCTACACAGGAGCTAAGGCTCCTTTCTCACCAGTGTGCGTCTCTGTGTGGAACAGGATGGCACTTCAGTTGAACCCAGGTATCTTTCCCTTTGGCTTTCTTCTTTTTCTGATCATTTTCCTTCACCGGTTTCAGGAAGCTATTTCAGCTCTTAAAGAGTGCTTAGACTCTCAAAATTAACATAAATCCTCTTGGCAAGAATCTTGCCCTTGTTTGTTTACAACAATGCCAAAAGCATGCTGGGTAATACTGTAGCCTCTTCCAATTTTTGCCATGGTGACATGTGTGTAGCATGTCTTTTTAGACAGTACCCATTTCCTTGATGCAGGTGTCCTCAAACTACAGCCCGCAGCCCACATGCAGCCTGCCTAAGACATTTATCCGGACCGCCAGGTGTTTTTGCCGCCACTGCCTGTCCTGCTCAGCAGCCAACTCGTCCCGGGGCCTGCAGTCCAGCCCTCCAAAGGTCTGAGGGACAGTGAACTGGCCCTGTTTAAAAAGTTTGAGGACCCCTGCCTTGATGTCTACAATATCACCTTTCTTGTAGATTCGCATGTATGTGGCCAAAGGAACAACTGCATGTTTTCTAAAAGGCCTAGAGAATATATATCAGGTGCCTTTCCTCCTTGACTTTATGTTTGTCATTTTGGTGAATTACTGGAAGATGGTGTCTCCAGCAAAAGGCTACAGTTCTTTATTATTTATTCAGTAACTGATAGCTAAGATTCATTATTTATTCAGTAACTGATAGCTAAGATTCATTACAAAATCTCCAAAGATGTTTTTTACAGTAAGGGAAGAATGTATGCTGTGTAAAAGAAAGTATTTTAACAAATTTTCTGGTTAAGGCTTGGTTTTTTAAAGTATTCAATTAGCAAGAACAACTAATTTCTCTAAGTCCTAATTAGTAATTCAAGTTTTACTGTATAAATCTTTTAAAACTTACCTGTCCACAGTACCTCAATTCCAGGTAGAAGCTTTTCACCCACAGTCCTTAAATAAGGAGACTGAGACACATTTGGATAACAGAAAGTGCCACAATATTCTAAACATAAGGGGGAAAATTAAGTAAGAGTCAGGAGTAAAATGGTCAGTTATTTAAATAGGGAAAAAATGTCTACCAATTCTAATTTTTTTTTATCCAAGTAATAATAAAAGGCCTCCTAAAAGGAAATGAACTCAAGTGGACAGCTCATTTAATAATCAATACACAAAATCTAATATTCTTCCCTTAACAATAATACAAATCACTTACTATTAGAATTTTAGCACATTTTCTACATATAGTTAACTGGAAACTGCCTACATTTCTCAATTATAGAGGACAAATGGAATGAACTGTAATGGCATAATAGAACTGATAAAAGATTCCACTAATGTCCTCGTCTGGTTTTGTTATCAGGGTAATGCTGATCTGACAGGAAGAGTTACAGAGAATTCACTCCTTTTTAATCACTGGGAATAGTTTGAGAAAAATTGGTGTTCGTTCTCCTTTGGAAGTTTGGTAGAATTTGGCAGTGAAGCCATCTGGTCCTGTAATTTTCCTTGTTAGACTTTTGTATTGCTGATTCAATCTCACTACTCATTATTGATATGTTCAGGCTCCTATTTCTTCCTTTTTCAATTTCATTAAGTTATAATAAATTTTTCTAGGCTTTCTAGTTTATTAATGTATAATTATAAATAATCCCTGGTAATCTTTTATTTTTCTGTGGAAGCAGCTGTAATGTCTTTTTCTTTTCTTTTCTTTTTTTTTTGAAACAGTCTCACTATGTCACCCTCAGTAGAATGCCGTGGCGTCATAGCTCACAGCAAACTCTAAAACTCTTGGGCTTAGGCAATTCTCTTGCCTCAGACTCCCAAGTAGCTGGGACTAAAGGTGCCCGCCACAACACCTGGCTTTTTTGTTGTTGCCGCCATCTTGTTTTAGCAGGCCTGGGCTGGGTTCGAAACCAGGAGCCCCAATGCATGTGGCCAGTGCCCTAACCACTGAGCTAGGGAGCCAAGCCAATGTCTCCTTTTTCATTTCTGATTTTATTTGGGTCTTCTGTCTTTTTTCTTCGTTAGTCTAGTAAATTAAATATTGATTTTGTTTGTCTTTTTAAAAAAAAATCAACATTTTATTTCATTAATCATTTTAATTCCTATCTCATTTACTTTTGCTCTGCTTTTCATTATTTCTTTCCTTCTACTAATTTTAAGTTTTATTTATTCTTGCTTTTCTAGTTTCTTGAGACAGAGTCTCACTATGTCACCCTGAGTAGAGTGTCATGGCTTCACAGCTCACAGCAACCTCAAACTCTTGGACTTAAGTGATTCTCTTGCCTCAGCCTTCTGTGTAGCTGGGACTACAGGTGCCCACCACAACATCCAGCTATTTTTTTTTTTTTTTTTTTTTGTAGTTGTTCTTGAGCAGGCCCAGGCTGGGTTTGAACCCGCCAGCCCCAATGTATGTAGCCCTAACCACTGAGCGCCTGGCACTGAACGCATTAGTCTGTTAAAATCCTTCTACTTTTTGGATGTAAATGTTTACTGCTACAGACTTCCACCTCAGCATTGCCTTTTCTGTATTCCATAGGTCGGAATATGTTGTATTTTTAAAGATTTATTTATTTATTTATTATTTTTTTAAGACAGAGCCTCAAGCTGTCGCTCTAGGTAGAGTGCCATGACTTCACAGCTCACAGCAACCTCCAACTCCTGGGCTCAAGAGAGTCTCCTGCCTCCACCTCCCAAGTAGCTGGGACTACAGGTGCTCGCCACAACACCCAGCTATTTTTTGGTTGCAGCCGTCATTGTTGTTTGGTGGGCCCGGGCTGGATTCAAACCCGCCAGCTCAGGTGTATGTGGCTGCTACCTTAGCCACTTGAGCCACAGGCGCCGAGCCTATTTATTTTTTTTTTGAGTCAGAGTCTCACTTTGTTGCCCTTGGTAGAGTGTTCTGTGTCATAGCTCACCACAATCTCAAACTCTTGGGCTTAAATAATTCTCTTATCTCAGCTTCCCAAGTATCTGGGACTACAGGTGCCTGCCACAACGCTCTGCTATTTCTTTTTGGTAGTTGTTGTTGTTTAGCAGGCCCAGGCCGGGTTCAAACCTGCTATCTCCAATGTATGTAGCCAGCACCCTAACCACAGAGCTATAGGCGCTGAGCCTATTTTAAGGATCTTTTTTGTTTTTTAGAGACTTTTGTCACCCTCAGTAGAGTGCCGTGGTGTCACAGCTCATAGCAACCACCAACTCGTGGGCTTAGGCGATTCTCTTGCCTCAGCCTCCCAAGTAGCTGGGACTACAGGTGCCCGCACAACGTCCAGCTATTTTCTGTTGCAGTTTGGCCAGGGCTGGGTTTGAACTAGCCACCCTCAGTATATGGGGCCGGCACCCTATTCATTGAGCCACAGGCGCTGCCTCTACTTTAAGATTCTTAAAGGTTTTCTTCTCCCGATTCTCTTTCTTAACCTAAAAGTCATTCAGAAGCATGTTGTTTAATTTCTATGGTATTTATACTCTTTCCAAAGTTCTCGGATGGCGCCTGCAACAAAAAAATAGCCGAGCATTGTGGCAGGCACCTGTAGTCCCAGTTACTCAGGAGGCTGAGGCAAGAGAATCACGTAAGCCCAAGAGCTAGAGGCTCTGAGCTGTGACGCCACAACACTCTACCAAGGGCAACAAAGTAAGACTCTTTCTAAAAAACAGAACAAAACAAAAAAACCCCAAAGTTCTCGTTGCTACTGATTTCTAGTTTTATCCCATTGTAGTAAGATAAGATACTCAATATAATTTTGATCTTTTTTGGCTCAGTGCCTATAGCTCAGCAGCTAGGGTACCAGTCACATACACCGGAGCTGGCGGGTTCGAATCCAGCCTGGGCCTGCCAAACAACAACAACTACAATCAAAAAAAAAAAAAAATAGCCGGGCATTGTGGCAGGTGCTTGTAGTGTCAACTACCTAGGAGGCTGAGGAAAAGAATCGCTTAAGCCCAAGAGTATGAGGTTGCTGTGAGCTGTGATGCCACAGCACTGTACTGAGGGCGACATAGTGAGACTTTCTCAAAAAAAAAAATAATAATTTTGACCTTTTTATTTACTGAGATTTACTTTGTGTCCTAACAGACGGTCTATACATGTATGAGAGTATTGTGTGTTCTGTAGCTGTTGAATGAAATGGTCTATAAATGGTTCATATAGCCTAATACACAGTTTAAATTCAGTATTTCTGTCTACATAATACCTGGTGCTGAGTAGGCTATGAAGTCCTTAACTATTGTTATTTTGTTTTTTTTTTTTTTTT